CCTGCTAATTAGGCCTCTAGTTCCCTTTCTGCCCTTAGGGACTCGGTCTGAATGATGCTTAATACTTAGATCAGGGATTACCTTTCATGAAGATATCTGTAAGCAGCACTACTGGGATCTTTGTTCCCACATCATACCTGGTCCATGTCCTAACACAGTCCCTGTCACACCTTTGTATTTAAAGATTCGTTTGTCTCCCTCCCCACACACATGGCTGCCAGGCAACTGCAATTTATTTGATATAAGGGACTGTGACTCATTCATATTTGAATTTCTATTCATCTTGAACTTTTAGATCTTGTAGGCACTACTAAGTGTGTGTGGATTAAATGAATGAATTTAGGGAAGAGCGAAAAATAGAAGAGAAGGTTAAGGAAAGATGAATACCCTGGAGCAGTTTGTTACGCATACTGATTCTCTCCATATGTAAGGCCTCTAGAATTGGGGAAGGGGTACAGTGTATTAACACTTGCAGTTCCAATAGGAGGGTCAAGGCTGATGTTCTAGAACACTGGCCTTTGAGAGTTCACCTGCCTTTTGCTTATTTGAACTGCTTTTGTTGTTGTTGTGTTGTTGTTCCATTGTTCTTCCATGCTGATATTCCAGGGGTGAGGTCATTGGATGACTTTTTTCTTTTCTTTTTTTTTTTAGCTCGTTTCTATCCCGTAGGTTCTTTCTGTCTGTGTCTGGTGTCAGGGAAGACCTCTGGAAGAATGCTGAGGCCTCTAAGCAAGAACCTTGCAGCTCAATTGTCAAGGTCTAGTGGTAAAGGCATCTTGATCTTGTGAAATCCAAATGGCCAGGCCCCTTTTCTTCTTTCTCTTTTGGGATGTGGGTCACTGCTTGACCCCTGGAATTGGAACTGCTCTGTTCTTCATTTTGGGAGTTGCCAAAATTATTCAGGTTTCCAAAGGATGCTAGCATTGGAACAAAAACATAAACAAAAGCCAAAATCAGAGTCAGGGATTATAACAGAGAAACAGCCTTATTTTATCTTTGGCTATGTGAAATATGAACAATTTATGGGTTTATCTGTCAGTAAGGGTTCCCAAAGCATCAAATACTTATAATTAACTTGATTAACAGATCACAATTGAGACATAATAAGAACAGTTGTATGTTTGGGGTTTGTATCTGGCTAAAAACATAGGCCTGAGAAAACACCTGCCACTCTTTCCTGCCTCATTCTTTCCTCCAGGGAAGTCTCAGACACTGAATAAATGTTGGCAGGTGCTTTGGTCCAGCAACTTTTTCCACGTTGTGGAAATAATAGAGTATATAGAAAATTATAAGGAAAATATAAGCGAATGACAATCTTACCCAGAGATTGTTATCCTTTTTGTTTCCTTGGTCTGTTTTTTTT